ATTCGTCCCTACATCCCCAACCCGCAACGATGTTTCCGCTGCCAACGATTTGGCCACAGTTCACGGAGTTGCAGAGGAAAAGAGACTTGTGCGAAGTGCGGAGGGCAGGACCACGTCGCTGACATCTGCGATGCAGTGGCCCGCTGCAGTAACTGCAGTGGACCACACCCAGCCTACTCCCGCACCTGTCCTCTGTGGAAACAAGAAAAAGAAATTCTTTCACTAAAAGCCAAGGAAAATATCACATATCCAGAGGCTAAGAAAAGGTTGTCGTTCCTCTCAAAGGGAGGCTATGCCGAGGTGGTGCGCAGGGGCCCTGCACCACGCTCGGAGTCGAGGGCCACCCAGGTCTCGCCAGAGATGCTGGCAGTGGCCCTCAAGGCCCCAACTCCTGAACGCAGGCAGCTGCCCCCTCAGACACCTCGAGGGAGCACGCAAGCTGCCCTCTCACAGAGTGGGACGGCAGCAGCCGTGCCCACTGTCCCTCCTGGACCCTCCCTGAGGGAGAAGGAGCGAAGCCCTCGCTCCAACTCGCTTGGGAGGGGCTTTTCTTCTAGGGAGCGGCGCGACTCTCGCACCGCCCCTGGCTCTAATGGAGTGGAACCGATGGAGCAGGACAATTTGCCCAGCTCCTCCTCCACTCCTCCCTGTGGATCGGGCCGAGGGCGGCAACCGCCCTCTCGAACGCCCGATCAACCGAAGCCCGCAGGCAAACCTGCCTGCGAAACTAGGGAGATGGAAGTAGCAGCTGAGGCTGCTGATCCGTCCACAAACCTGTCTGACTTCGAAGACACGGATTGGCAGACCCCAAAACCCAAGAACAAAGCAAAAACGCCTGTTAAGCCTCCGAAATGAACCCTTTACCCAAGGCGTTTAATTTCACCCCATGCAATTTTCTTCATGTATATACCCCATATATTTTAATTCTGGAGCTCTCCAATTTCACATTGTCGACTCTTTTATGTGTATTGCATTGTGATAAATATTTTGAGATCAGAATAACCTTGCTTTTTAATATTAATTTTATTATTAATTTTTAGCGATTTTAAAATTTGGTCCACATTCCTAACGCCCCTTTTAGCTTAACACATTTTTATGGCAGGAGGCTTTTTACAGTGGAATTGCAGAGGACTTTTTCACAACCTGGATGATGTTTACTCCTTGCTTCAGGAGTACACACCCTCTGCAGTATGTCTCCAGGAGACATATTTGGGACCATCAAATAGTAATTTCCTGCGATCATTTCGAGTCTTTCGCAAAGATTGCATAACAACATCTGGCAGTTCCGGAGGAGTTGCCATTATTGTGGACGGAACGGTACCAGCTGTTGAAATTTCTTTGAACACTTCTCTGGAGGCTGTCATAGTACGGTTGATGTTAGATCGCCTTATTAGCATATGCTCCCTCTACATACCCCCTTCATCTTCCCTGACGCTGACCGATCTTGAACGCCTTGCAGACCAGCTTCCAGAACCCTATGTTCTCCTAGGAGATTTTAATGCCCACAATCCGCTCTGGGGAAGTCAACGGGTCGACAGCCGAGGATCTGTTATAGAAAGGTTTCTCTCCCGAAGAGCTGCCAGTCTCCTAAATACTGGTGAGGCCACATATTTCAGCTCGACTCACCACTCCTTTTCCTGCATTGACCTATCCATTGTTTCTTCATCCATGTTTACAAATTTTACCTGGACTGTCCTGAACAACCCACGTGGCAGTGACCACTTCCCTATCCGTCTCATCCCCACAGAGCCCCCACCTATTCTCCCCTGTTGCCCTCCTCGATGGAAACTTTCTATAGCAAACTGGGAACTTTTCCAGGAATGTGTAACGTCTTCTGTCCTGCCTGTAGCACACTCTATTGAAGAAGAAAATGAAATCATCACAACTGCCATTGTTGATGCAGCTCTTGCTGCTATTCCACAAACCTCGGGTAAGCTACCCAAGCGCCCAAAGCCTTGGTGGGATAGGGAGTGCCGAAAGTCCAGAAATCGCCAGAATTGCGCTTGGGCAAAGTTTCGGCGATATCCCACCCCCACCAACCTTCTCGCATTCAAACGCCTGCGAGCAGAAGCCCGACGCGTCAGGAGACAAGCGAAACGCCGTTCCTTTCACTCGTATACTTCCTCCATTAATAGTTTTGCTCCAGCCAAAATTGTATGGGACAGGGTAAGGCGAATGGATGGTGATTACGCCCACTTTTCAATCCCCCTGCTATCAGCCGACGATGGAGAGGCGTTTTCATCTTTGCAGGAACAGGCTGATGCACTGGGTAGACATTTTGCGCAGGTCTCCAGCTCTAAGAATTATACAGAAAAGTTTTTACGCTTTAAAACCAAAGCTGAGAAGGTCCCAATCTGCCGATCTGATAGCTGCGCCGAAGAATATGACCGGCCTTTTACTCTTACTGAGCTGCGTCGAGTCATTGCCACAGCAAAAGCAACATCTCCCGGGGTTGATGACATTCATTACACTATGATTTCCCATCTGCCTGAAGCATTCCTCGTCATTCTCCTCCAGTTTTTCAATAGAGTGTGGGCAGAGGGGAAGCTGCCGAGCATGTGGAAAATGGCTATTGTCATCCCTATCTTCAAACCGGGAAAAGACAGAAGTAAAGCCTCCAGCTATAGGCCTATAGCCCTGACTAGCTGCCTGGGAAAGACATTCGAGCGGCTGGTTAACAATAGGCTTATCTTCATTCTTGAACGGAACTCGCTTTTAAGCAATTTACAGTGTGGCTTTCGTGCTGCCAGGTCCACTGCCGACCACCTCGTACGATTGGAAACGGCTGTCCGAGAGGCCTTTATAAACAAGCAGTTCTGCCTTTCAGTATTTTTTGACCTTGAAAAGGCTTACGATACCACTTGGCGGTACGGTATCCTTCAAGACCTTATCAAGATGAATATTGGCGGGAATATGTTTAATTGCATCGCAGACTTTTTGCAGGATCGCACCTTTCAGGTGCGATTGGGAACAACCCTTTCGTCATGTTTCATCCAGGAGAATGGAGTCCCACAAGGATGTGTCCTGAGCGTTACCCTCTTTCTTATTAAAATCAACTCTCTGTCCCGAGCAATACCACCTTCGGTCTCCTACTCGCTTTATGTTGATGACGTCCAGGTCTGCTTTTCGTCATGTAATTTAGCTATCTGTGAGCGCCAAATCCAAGTAACCATTAATAAAATGAGTAAATGGGCTGATGAGAATGGTTTCAAGTTTTCTGCTGAGAAGACCGAGGCTGTTTGCTTCTCCCGGAGAAGGGGAATGTTTCCCGAACCATCGCTTCACATAAATGGCACACCCCTTCCCGTCCGATCGGAACACAGGTTTCTCGGTGTGACGTTTGACAGCAAGCTTACTTTCGGCCCCCATATCAAGGCACTGAAACTGAAATGCCAGCAGAAACTAAACATTTTAAAAGTTCTTTCACATCGCACCTGGGGCGCGGACAGGGTATGTCTTTTACGAATTTACAGGGCTGTAGTGCGCTCTACCCTGGATTATGGAAGCCTTGTTTACGGATCTGCGAAACCATCCACCCTCAAGATGCTTGATCCTATTCACCACCAGGGGATCCGTTTGGCAACGGGGGCATTCCGTACGTCGCCGGTACTTAGCCTGTACGCTGAATCGCATGAGTGCTCGCTCGAGAGACGTAGACTTTTTCTCGCTGTTCAGTACTTTCTAAGACTCCGTTCTTTTCCACAAAATCCTGCTTATGAAATAATTAAAAACATAACCTATGAGCGCTTATTTCAGCACAAACCATCTGTAACCCCTCCCTTTGCACTATGTGTAAGAATTGCTACAGAACAATACAACTTTGATGCTCTCTCTCCTGTCCTTGAAATTCAACAAAGAACTGCACCCTGGAAAGTTGCCAATACTTGTTGTAATCTTTCTTTGACCAAGCACAAAAAAGATACAGTTGACCCTTGTGTTCTCAGGCAAGAATTTCTAGAGCTGTGTACCTCGTACAATGGCTACAAGCACTTCTTTACTGATGGATCAAAAACCACAGACTACGTTGGCTGTGCTGCTATCGGCGAGGGCTACAGATCTGTAAAAAGGTTAAACGAAAATGCCTCAATTTTTACTGCCGAGCTTTATGGTCTGATAACTGCAGTTGACCATATTGTCAGACATCGATATAGAAAGTCTGTCATTTTCTCCGACTCTCTGAGCTCACTGAAAGCACTCAACTCTCCAACATTTTGGAAGCACCCTCTGCTTGTGCAGCTTTGTAATACACTAACACAAGCACTGGCAAAGAAAATACAGATAGAATTCTGCTGGGTCCCTGGCCATATTGGCATAGAAGGCAACGAGCTAGCTGACCGTGCAGCTTCTGCGTGTGTAGATAGGACAGTTGACTATAACAGCATCCCTGCTACTGATTATCGAGTACCACTAAAAAGGCAAATAAAATATGCCTGGCAGAGGGAATGGGATTCCCAGCTGCAAAACAAACTCCATATGATTAAGCCCATCCTGAGCGAGTGGCGCAGTGCCAGACACCGAGAGCGTTTTTATGAGATAGTTTTATGCCGATTGAGAATAGGACATACCCACCTTACCCATAGCTACCTCTTACGTAGAGAGAGTGAACCGACCTGTGACTTCTGTTCTGTACCATTAAGTATACTTCACATTTTGATAGTTTGTCCACACTTTGAAGAGAACCGTCGAACCTGTTTTTCTATATTCTATCGGGAACATGTACCATTTCACTTGGCTCTTTTACTGGGTGACGAGCCTCTTGTCCCAGTCTCACAAGATTTTTTGGAAGAAACTAATATTCTGCGGAAATTATAAGTCCAGTTCCTAGTAAGGTCCGCTTTGAGGCTTTAGTCAGTCCTTAAAGAATGTAGGCTTCCTTTACACAATGTTTCTGGCGCACTATGGCCCCGATGCTGCTGCGCCAAAAAACCCAAAAACCAAACCAAACCGGACCTCCGTGGTGAGAGAGAGTCGATTTCGGAATGCGGTCTTCGTGCTTACAGGTGGAGTTCCCGGAGGCACGCATCTACGAGGAGACGCTCAACATCCTGCTGTACGAGAACCGCAACGGGCCGGACCCCGAGCTGATGCAGGCAACAAGCACGCGCGGCGCCGTCGCGCGCACCACGACGTGCTACACGAGCGACGACGAGGACGAGCGCCGGGCGCCCCTGGGCTCGTCGTCGTCGTGTGGCGGCAACTGCGCCCGCGACTCGAGGGACTCGTGCCACCTGGGCCGCATACGCAGCACCAAGCAGAGCAGCTGAGCCCTGCACGCGCGCATCCTCGCCCTGCGCTCTGTCTGAGTGTACCCGCGGCAGGAAGGAGGGCTTCCGCCTGTCGGGAGGAGTCTTGCAACGCCGGCGGGGCTCTGGCTTCGGCAAGGACACCTCCAGTAAGAAGGCCTTTTGCAAAAGGCCTTCAGAACCAAAAGCCTCTACTGAAGGCCTTCGGTGAAAAGGCATTTGGCACAGAAAGCCTCCTTGCCAAATGCCTTCTGTGAAGAAGCATTTGGCATGCAAAGTCTCCTTGCCGAAGAGGAAGCCTTTGGTGCGAAGCCTCCTTGCCAAACGCCTTCAGTGCCGAGGCATTTGGGATGGAGGCCTTTGGTACCAAAAGTCTTCTCACCTAAGGCCTTCACCTGCAGGCCTCTGCCAAGGAGGTCTTCAGTAAGAGCCCTTTGGCAAAGGAGGCTCGTGACATTCGAAGCTGACGGTTCCTTTCTCCGGCGGTAGCCCGGAAGTGTCGTACTGGTGCGATGCCCGTGGGGTCGATCCAAGTCTTTGTTCAATATTTTTCTTTAATTGTGGCGGATGCGGTTGCACATAAATTTTACGAGTGGAAAATGTTTGAAGTATGTTGAATGCAAACGCCGTTTGAAGGGGCCTGGATTAGCACCGTTCCTTTTGTGTCAAATATGAAAGTGTTCATGTTTAATATAAATGTGAACACTGCTTCATTAGAAATGAATGAAACTGTGTTTTCATTTGTGTTGAGTTACGCTGGCATGGGAAATGTGGTATTGGAACATTGACGCAAAGAAGCATTAGTCGGATCCTCTTTGAAAGGAACATCTGCAGTGATGTGATTGCTGCACCATTTCTGCAAAAGCGCTTATCCTGTTTCATTCTGTTACATTTTACCAGAATGTGAGAAATTTGCACCAAAATTGCTCCAAGACTTACAGTAGTTTCACTTTAATAATACTGTAAATATAATAGCTCGGGCCTTGCTACCTGGCCGAACCATTACGATGTGCTTACGCGAGTTTTCGTTACTCTTGATTATTGTCTCAAGTAACACACTTTTCAATCACATTTTATATCAAAAACTGACAGTACTCCAAAGTTTCTCAATAATTTTCATGTTCGTGTCTGTTCTGAAGGGTTAATTAATCTCGTTGAGTGCGCTTCTCACAGCGCACTGGTGTACTGCAGAGAAGCGACGCGATTTTGCGTGTCTTGCTTCGCCCCAGCGCACCCCTGTGCTGAGGGGAAAGCGCTCTTCTAGAGCGAGACGCAAGAGAATTTCTGAATACAACTTGAGCTTGTATACAGTGCTATCCACTTATAACAGTAACGAGAAAACCCGAAAGTTCAATCGTTATAACCGATCATCGTTGTATCTGGACTAGAATCTGATCGTTTCTAGACTAGAAACTCTAGAAACTGATTGTTATAAGCAATACGTTGTTATATGTGGTAGCGTGTAATCACACTGTATATGATAGACTGCGATATTCTGGTGGTACCTTTTTCCAATTCGAGATTTAGCAAGGATACTTCGGTATTGCAAGAAATTTCTATGCACTCTTTGGTAGATAAATTTTTTTATGCCAACTCATTTGTTTAGTTATCACTTTTATGTAGGTGTGAGTAAATTAGACTAAATTGGCAGGAGCAGTAGATGGGCGCTTGGCAAAAACCATAACGAGTTTAGCGGGATTGTTTTTAATTTTCGTTGACATGCCATTTTTGTTATGAAGTCATGCATATAAAATGCAATTGACATTCATAATGAAATGGCAAGTGCTTTGTTTTTTATCTGAATTTCAAATTTTAGTTTTATTACAGCCTCTAGAACTTGAAGGAAACAGTAATTTAGGAACTCAAAATTATTTTATTATTTCAGTGAGGTTCAGTACCTCAAAGAATCATTCACAGCAGTTTGTGCTGTCCTTCATCAGTCATCTTCTTTTCACCCTGTCTGGTGCTTCTTCATACAACTAAACACTAGTTTTGTGTTCGAGGGAATTTCTTGCTATGCGATTGATGCTACAAAAGTTTGCATGTAAGTGAGAAGGCAAAGTGTACAATTCCTTTTAGTTGGACTGGCCGACATTAATCTTGACATAATCTTTGGAGTGACATGAATAAAAATAAAGTGTGCATTCATGCTTTAAAAGTTTTTTTTGCTGCTCCAAAAGTGACTTTTGGTTGCTCCAAAATGACTCGGGCCAATCACATCACTGCATCTGTGGGAGGAGCAAGTGCTGGTCTCTGCTCCAAATGTTGTTAAATTGCTTCCCATACCACATTCTAATTCTTTTTTCTACCTGATTTCAGGGTGTGCACGGCAGTTGGGAAAGCAGTGTCATGCTCATGTACACCGAGTGCATTGTTGAAAGGTGGCACTGTTGGAACTTGCCGGATGTAGAATTGAATCGAACTGAACTTAATGACAAAGTTTGATGCACTCCTGGCTCTGCCAAGATTAGGACTGTGGCACAGATGTTGGTGCAGTCCCCGCCCCTTTTATTGTTTTTATTTTGTATTGATTTTGGATATGCGTTCTTGCGTGGACTTGGTCCCTGCACGGGGAATGAAGGCATTCCTTGCTAATTCAAATTGAGGGAAGGAGCAACCTGTAAAACAGCCCGTGGTACATTACTGTAATATCTGCTACAACCCTGGTCATTTCCTTACATTTGTTTGTGCTGCTGTTCACTTGAATCAGTTTGGAAACAGAATTTGCAATGCTCTGAGTTGGTATGTCTATGATGCCCCTGAGTGAAAATGAAGGGTATCAAAGTACTAACCAAGCCATTCAAGGCTCCTAATGCTTGTTATGTGTAAAGGTAATATCTAGTCTGTCATATTAAAATGTAAAACAATTTTCGGCACAACACTTTTATGTTTGCGTCAAGCTCCTATATCGGTGGCAGCCTTCAATGGAGCGCAATGCTCATCTTTCTAGTAAGGTGGAGCTGCAGTTGTGGTCACACGTGGAAATAGACTTCTCCCAATTGTACAACTTCTTGGAAGATTTTACGACTATCTCACGGCTTAGATTGATGTTGTCTTAGATTTTTCGTGTTGCGAGCATCGCTGACTAAAAGTGTTCGAGAAATTATAAATCTGAAGATAACTATGTTTGGCAACAATTCAAGCGGGTCTTGAAAAGCTTGCTTTTCAACCATGGTTAATGTTGTCCTGTGAATGATATATCTACCTGTCTCTTTTACATGTTGGTTGTTTGTAAAATTGTAAAATGTATCATGTATGAACATTTCTTCTCGAGTGAATTAAACTAAATATGTGTACCACTTACATTTACTCGCATGTTCTTTTTAGGTAGGCCCGAAGTCTTTCATGTGAGCAGGTGTCGTGAGGCTGTAGTAGTGCTGGATTACTCCCGAAGGTGGCCTGCTTATGGACTCGTAACCTAGAAATGAGAAAGAAGCTGTCTTCACTCTGCTATACTCCGCGACAACTTTTCTTGGCAATGCAGTGGAAGGTACAGGCCCGCGTCCCCTCTCCCATTTTGAGTGTATGCAGGCTCTCCTCCTCCCTTATTCCGGGGAGAGGAGAGCCCGCGTACACTTAAAAATGGGAGAGGGGACGCGGGACGTACCTTCCACTGCATTGCCAAGAAAAGTTGTCGCGGAGTATAGTAAAACCCAGAAGTAAGGCCGTGTTTTGCTCCATTATTAAAATAAGGAAAGGCACTTTCTGGATTGTGTGACAGGGGCTAGAGTTCCAGGAACATGAGCGCCTGGTCGCATTTTCCATCGACTGTTGCAGGTTTCGAATAGCGAAACGACTCCATCCCACAAAGCCGTCTGCTTGCTATGATTGATGGTTTTCTCCTCCCCACTCACCTCCCTTCTGGTGTTTGCTCTGCTAATGTGGAAAGAGTGGGGGGTTTCATGAGAGGGGCTTGTCCTGCCATTCTAAACCTGCAGCAGACTGTAGACTTCCCAGAGGTCAAAAGGACATCATCCTTTTGACCTCTGATCATCAGATGGACCACAAGCCTGAATCACGTGACTGTTATTCACCGAAGCGAGTTTCGGAGTTGCATTTCATCTTTTAAACACACGGGTGTCCGGGGCAGTACTGGCAAGAGTTCTAATCTGAATAGCAGATTCCTTTCCCCACAGATGAATGGAACGGGCAATGATGCCTATAGGCTCCTTGCACTGACGTCACATCGCACACATTTGAACACCAAGTAAAAGGAGGAGAGGGAAGCTGCTTTTGTAAGAATTTTGAGTGGCAGGTTAATCTTCGATAATCTTCTGGGAGGAGAACAGCGACGCCTGTGCAAATGCGGGAGGCACAAAGGAGGATCCTGATAAGAGGGGAGCTCCTTCTTCCCCTCTTCTCTGGAGGGCAACGGAAATGACGTCCTTTGCAAGCCACGTATACAGGAGGTACATAAAATACCGAACACGTGCCCGTGCTGCTGTAAGCGTCCACCCAACACTTGTTAAAGGTTTAAAAATTAAAGGGGTCATGAAACGATTTTCCTACTTCTTCCTCCTTAGCTTTAATCCTCAACTCAAATGCGAATTGTGAAATCACGTGGTCGTGACATTCCTTCGGCACCGGTGCGATGACTCCTAGCTTGCACCGTGCTTTTTATGCACACCATAGAACTTGTCATTCCCCAGTGACAATAAGTTCCGTCAGGGCACTCATCGGCCACGAACGCGAATCCAAATATTCGTCGACGGATTGATTGTTGACGAGCGCATACGTCTGAGTGACGCAGTTCTCGTGTCCAATGCGTGAGCTGGGCTCTGCTGACGTCAGTTTGGCGCCGGTGACGCGCTTTTGGAACCGCGGATGTATCATAGTGAAAAGGCGGAGAGCTTTCGAAGGCAGGAAGTAACAAAATAGTCCGCTATATTTTCAAATGTTCGTACCGAAAAACTGGCTTTTGACTTTCTAGCCTCTTTCTTTTGGCCAACTAAACGATATGCGATTATAGTCGGTTACAAGTCAAGAAGGTAGGAGAAGCTCCTCCCATAAGCGTGACGCGCCCGTTTCAAATTTCTCCGCAGTCGAAAGAAGAGTTCACTGGAAACACTCCTTGTTCCGCTTCAATGAATTCCAACTTGTCTCCGATCCCACTTTTTAAGAAAGCGACCTTTGTATTCATTGGAGGGGGAACCGAGCCCCTGAAAGCAGCCTCTGTATCCATCGGAGCGGGAAGCTAATCCCCGAAAGTCGTATTTGTTTCCGTCGGTGGGGGAGAACTCTAATCTCCCTCTCGTGGCTTCCACAATGCTAAGTCAAAGTCGAAAGATAAAGCAAATATGTACAGAAAGGCAAGACCCTCCTCGCGCGTTGGCCGCGTCGTCACGGAAACGATGGGACGCTATTGGATGCGGAGGTGGCGGAGGGATATATAATTCCCTTTGAGGGGCATTTGCCGCTACCTTCTTAACCTGCAACCGACTATAGTAAAGTCCCAATTTAAAATCATTCATCCCAACCCAAAATTCGTTTCATGGCCCCTTTAATAAAGGACCGGTGCAACGATATTCAATTGGAATGTTTTTCACTTGACACGAGCTTACTGGCAAACCTGGGACTCAAGGATACTCACACGCAACGCCACTGGCCAAGAAACTCCTTTGTTGCGGTGTAATTTCAAGGACAAAAGCGATCATTTTCATTCAATCTCTCCTTTGCTAAATTTGATGACGTAACGTGGGGATCGCAGTACACCCAAGTGACGATATTTGAATGCGGTTCATAGATTGGACCCGAGCATTGCGTGGGCACTCGACTTGGGCTCGTCATAATTGCTAGCTCGAGAAGCATTCGGGTAGTGACCCGTGTCCAATCGCTGCAACGACGACAACAGCCGAGCCATAACAATGTCTGGAACTCAGCGCGTGTCCTGCGCTTTGCCAAGCGCAGCGCGTGGCTATGATCAACACTGGCGGCATATAATCGGCTCCAGATCACGTGGCCGCTTGTTCTGACTGCGAGTTGAGGGGGTGAACGCTGCTCGTTTTTCTTTAATTTTTTTCTGGGACTTCTATTGCGTGGGGTGAAAAACGAACGCGTGTTTCATAGGTCATTAACATTAGGGATCCGTTTTAAGCGGTATTTGCGCAAAATACAAAAATTGTTGCATCGCTCCTTTAAGCAAGAACATATCAATTGCCCTCCCCAGCTTTCTGCGCCCCCTTGGCTAACCGAGATGCTCCTTTTCATCAACTGCTTCTCCAAGTGCCTCGATGCAAAGCGGTGAAGCCCAAGTCATTATGTGACTCTTCCGCATTTTTGCTTTTGGACCTAGAGAGGGCATATCTCCCAGTTTTTCGAAAATAATCTCCCAAGTTTGGGTATGCGCTTGCTTTGGATTTTACCTTAGGAACATGTGTAGCATCTCTGCGATGCTAAGTGTGTGACTAGTTTAACAGCCAGATTCAACTTTTTTTTTTTTTATTATTTGCTTCGAAGGCTTTGTTTGTAGGCTGCCCCTAGGTTTCTTGTCATCTATTTCGGTTTTGGGGACCTCCCTCAATTCGAGCACCGCATTGCACGTAGAATGAAATCAGAAACACAACATCGTCGTTGTCGTTTTTTTTTTTTTTTTTTAATGTTCAAAGTACGCAAATTAATGGAATGCCGCCTCCCCACGGATCCTCTCCCAAAATTCTAACACCCCCCTCTTTCTCCTCCGATTGCCAATCCTGGACAAACGTCTGGTTTACTCCTCCGATTGCCAATCCTGGGACCTGGACAAACGTCTGGTCTCTCGCGATTCGGTGGCCTGCTAGAAATCAACGCCCACTGGGCGAGGCGCAGCGGTGACCCCATTGCTTACAACCGGGCGGTCAATTTTTTTTTTTTTTGCCACGATTTTTTTGGCAACACGATGCCATCATGCTGCGCTGTGGATTGCACAAACAACATTGCGAAAGGGAAGACGCTTTTTGCCCTTCCGACGTAAAAAGAAAATCTTCATCGGCGAAGACAATAGGGAAGTAGACCATTTCCGCAGCTAATCCCCGAAAGTCGTATTTGTTTCCGTCGGTGGGGGAGAACTCTAATCTCCCTCTCGTGGCTTCCACAATGCGAAGTCAAAGTCGAAAGATAAAGCAAATATGTACAGAAAGGCAAGACCCTCCTCGCGCGTTGGCCGCGACGTCACGGAAACGGTGGGACGCTATTGGATGCGGAGGTGGCGGAGGAATATCTGATTCCCTTTGAGGGGCATTTGCCGCTACCTTCTTAACCTGTTAACCGACTATACGAAACTTTATTTACATGCAGGAAGAGGTGCGTCTTGTTGTGTGCCTGCTCTCAGCTCTTGCTGCAGTAAACGGGTGAACAAAATATATTTTTGCAGTGCATGCCGATGTCCCAAAATATTCAAGACTACATTGACATTTTTTTTTTTTTTTTAATCTTCTGCGTTCAGGGGAATTGGAGAAAACTAGTCTTCACACCCGAGCGATTCCAACTCTGCTCGCGCTATCGTATGTCTTCCTGTGTTTTATAACTCCAATAAAGGTGCACAAACGCTAGTTTCTTCACGTTAAAAAAGCAATACAATCTTCATATTAAAAAAATGCTCTGGTTTGGCGTATGCAGTAGCAAAGAAGTACAGCCCAGCATGCGGGCGCGCGCCTTGTGAGCCTCGCTCAGACATGGCGGCGGAGGGCGTGGCGCGGAAGGAAGGCAATGGGGGTTGCCCTCGATGGAAAGGAGGAAAACACGGGGACAGGGCGTGCGCTGCGTCGCCATGAAAAGGGCTTCTCTTGTGCGTGTGTGACTGTGTGTGTGTGGTTTTTTTTTTGTGTTTTTTTTTTAATTACGTCGCACGAGAGCCAATGGGAACCTCGTTCCTTGATGACGCGCGTCAGCCGATGGGAGCATAATCCATCAGAAATCGTCTTCACTTGGGAGAGGGGATTTTAGGTGCCGTTTGGCCAACGTTTGGCGTGGTTTCAAAGCTGATGACGTCGGCCTTGAAACCACGCATTAAAAAGCAGGATGCGGGATGGAAAAAAACAAACACGCTTTTCGTGTAGGCTTGTCAAATTATGAGGCGTTGGAGAGAACCAGCCTTCTGCGTGAAGGCTTTATTTCAAACTCTTTTTGTTCGCGTTCCGCCCATTGAAATACACCCGGGAAACGCCTCAGCACGCACCTCTTATCGCTCCGCCGCAGTGTTCTTCCGCAACATAAGGGCCATCTGCTTTCATCGCCGTCACCAGGCCGCGTCATCTATACCTGAGCATCAACGGCAAGATTTTGTGGGCTCCTCAGTGCGTGCAGTGTGTCACTATCCACCCTCTTGG